GGGGGGGGGCAAGTCCCCTACAAAGCCCGATCCAATCTAGAAAAAAGTTGGGTCCTCCTGCACGAGTGGTCAACCATGTGGTTCGCTGTCTGCATGTGGACGTCTGATGGAGGGAAGCTCTAAATCCATCCTGATGATACCCCTAAGGGACCTCGGTAGATCTGCAACGTCATACTGCATAAAATCTCGAGCTCGACAGGCGGAACATGTGAGGTAGTCAGCTGCACTGTTCCCCTCCCAGAAAATGTGGGAGAAGCTAACATCTAGGGTGTCAGTAAGAGCTTTGATCTTCTGAATGAAGTTTCTTTCCCGCCAGTCACCGAGAGGGGTCCGGGCAGCTAGGAGGGATATAACAACCTCAGAGTCAAGCTTAATCCACATACGGTCAAAAGCCAATCCACGACATAGGGTTAAAGCTCTTCAAACGGCATGGAGCTCTGCGAAAGTACTGGTCTGAAATCCGAGATACTCATGAAAAGAGAAAATGGGTCTGCCTCTGTGATCTCTGGCAATGCCACCTGCTCCAAACGTCATAGATTTTTCAAAGCTGTAATGAATCAACAAATCGTGGAATAAATTAAAAATCATGAATGTTTCCTACACTGATAAAACGTTACAACTTAAACTGATAAAGGCTAAAAGATAACATGAAAAACTTTTATGTATGTTTAGATTAACAACATTGATTCAACAAGTTCATCTTTCCTGTTTGGTCAAAATAATAATCAAACTTTATAAATCAATAAACAAAATGTTTGGTCAAATTAATAATCAAACTTTAAAAATCATTAGCAAATGGAAATCAGTCTTAATTAAATGTAGAGTATGTTGTAAAATTGAATGTAGAGTATGTTGAAAATCAATTCACACGGTTAAATTTGTGATAATTAATAGTAACAAACTAAAAAAAAATCAAAATGTCTAGATGACATATGACATGCATCCCGCTCCGAGAAAATCTTTATCTTATAGCAGAATGCTGGCTGAATCTAATCTAATAGATGTGTAGAAGAACATGATGGATAAAAAACTTCATCATAACGAGAAAACTTTTATCTTATAGCAGAATGCTGGCTGCATTTAATAGATTTCTTTTTCCTTTTTGCAACCAGCATTCTAGCTGTACTAAAGTAAATCATTATATCATTAATAATATATTATAGTTATATTATCAAATCATAAAAAGATATTAAATCCATATTGTAAAAAAAATAATACATATAATTTTACAACAATTCTACTACACTATTTAACAATATTCCTTTTTATCATATAATAATATAATAATTAAATATTATATGGTGAACAAGAATAAGTAAAACTATTACTTTCTTTTATATCAAGGGATAAATTTATATGCTAAAATAATTTTTATTAGTATAAATGTTTTAGTGAGATGATATATTAATTATTTTACAAGCTAATCCTAACATGCTCATATTTAATGTTCTGGCTACAAAACCATGGTTAAAAAATGTGGAAAAAAAAAACTTATAACTCTATTGTGTTTTAGACTTAACGTTGATTAAAATAGGTAGAGAATAGATAATAACTCTATCACTTTTTAGACTTAAACGGAAAAGACTGTGAAAATAACTCATTTAATATCTTTATCCCGTGCATCGCACGGGGTATGTACTAGTTCTAGATTAAGTTAAAATAGAATAATTTATGGTACATTTTTGGAAAGGTTAATCTCAAACTATTGATATCATATCACTAAGAAAATATGAATAGATTGGGTAGAAATAAAGTAGGTGATTGAAAAGTTTTTAACAATTTAATCACTAGATTTAGATCAATTATTAATATTACATTATGTAAAATAAAAATTAAAGTCTCACCACAGATGGTAAATTAAAAAAATTACAAAAAAGAAAAAGAAAAATAAAATAAATGTTAAAAGAAAATTCTTATTTAGGAACAAATTAATTTATTGGGAAAAACTCTACTTTAAGTAAATACAAATATATAGGTATATATATTTATATATATATATATATATATATATATATATATATATATATATATATATATATATATATATTCCTATATATATAATTGTCGAATTTCTTGAGCCTAAGTAGTGGACGCGCACGCTTCGAGATCCTATGTGGCAAAGTTTCATGCTTTGTCATTTGACATAGATAGATTTAATTTACTTTTAATCTCAAAATAACTAGGTTTAGAATATCCATAAACATATTGGATATTTGATCCTTTTTAAGGGCATTAATTATTTTTTAATATCATTTCATATTTTAAACATGATTTATAAGGCTTAAATTTTACACGCCAAACATTCTTTTTTCCTTATCTTTATTATAAAAAAAAATGCCAAATTAAATTCCAATTATTTTTTTCCCAAAACGATAAAGATTTTATTTAAAACGCACAAATGTGAAAAATACAGTCATCAGCTGAATACAAACAACCAACAGGTGAAACAAACAGTCAACAATTGAATAAACTGAGAGGACATGTCAAAGACCGCCTAGAGCTGACCCCAACGGGGTAATAACGGACACAAAAAAAACTAGAAAACTAAAAAGACTCTAACATAGTAATACCCGAGTGTCCGGTCCTAACAGGATAATAAGTTGACACTCGGGCACTAATTTATTCAAAAGGTTAATAAATATATCATTTATTATTGATAATATGGTTTTTCAAAATAAAGTGATAAATATTTTTATTATTTTTAATTTTAAATATAACTTTAATAACAAGCACTCGTGTATTGCAGTTGTATATAAATAAAGGCTAAGGGTTTACCTTAAACTAATGTGGTACTTGTACGATGCAGGGGTAAGCAATATTAAGTGTGTGTTTCTGCATATATTTATCCAATTGATGCAACATTTATATTTAAAATATAACTCAATTTTAACTCAACTCCACAGCTTTTAAACTCGGCCCGGCAATCGACCCTGGCAAGTCTCCAGGTCACCGGGTAAATTGTTGGATCGGATAATTAATTTTAAATTTTTTAAAATTATATATATATTATTTTGTCATATAAATATACATAAAAGTAATAAAATTAAATATTTTGTATATAAAATTTGTACACTAAAGTGATAATAACATGTATTTCATGATAAATATTTACCATATAAATATATACATAATTTTATTTTTTAAAAACAAGAAATATTTTGAAAAATAAAATAATAAAAAAAATATAGGGGTCGGGTCAACCCAGTCGGGTCAATGCACCGGGTCGGTCGGGTCAAGGCCGGGTTTTGACCGGGTCCTTGGATGCCCGGTCCAAATAGCCCACCCGGACAGGTTCTGGCTCCGGGTCGACCCGTCGGGCCTGTCTGGGTTGAAAAATACTGCTCAACTCTACTATCTTGAATATTGATAATATAATTAAATAATAACAAACAACCAATCTTATAAATCATATCAATTTTAATTCACTATTATCAACTCACATAATTTTAACTAATCATCACTTCACATCATTTTTTTCATACTTTTGCAACAATTCAACTTTAATTATTTATTTTAAATATTATATTAATATAACCTCAAAATCTCACTAACAACTAACCATATAATTTTTTTTTAAATTAACTTCAGTTAACTAAAAAAACTCAGCTAAATCAGT